ATGAACTCTGCTGTGGTAATAAAGGACTACAGCATGTGTTTCAAACCATAAGGTGGTAAACGATATAAACACCTCGTCATAGTGCTGAGAGTTGAGGATTTACGCATACACTATTAGTTAAGTTTATTAGCTTTTGTCAGGGACTATGCAGCACGCACCAATCTCTGAGCAGAAAACTGAATACACAGGCCTGGTCACACCAGGAAGTGGCACTGTAAAATTAATCTGATTGTCTCTGTGAAATATTTGTTTTCTATTATTATGACTACTCACCTGGCTAGTTGGTGAACAGCCGGCAAGCTAACAGCTAACGATGGCTAGCAACAGCCACAACAACAGTTTGCCAAGCTGCTTCACAATCGAACAAAGAAGCTCAGCCAGAAATTGTATGTTTTTGAGGAGATCAGACCATATGTCACTCATACTGTTTCAGACACACGTCTTTCAACAATATCCTCTGGTCTTTCCAGTCTGCTCCCTCACCACAAAGGAAATCAATGAAGCAAGAGCAAGACTATACGACAGAGCTTATACGATCCACTGCAACCTTCCCCCTCGGACTCACCACTGTACTGAAATTTCACGTTCAGAGGCCTTTATGATATGAAACCCTGCAAGTGTTGTTCAGCACGATAATCTTCACAAATAAACCACTTCTATGATGTTAAAGCCTAAACAGACATCGTCAGAAATTAAAAAGCTAATGTTTGCCCATGAATGAACTACACCACAGTTGCATCACTTCGCCAACACTAAACTTCCAACTTTGACTTGATTTGACTTCCTTAGCTCTTTTACAAAAGCTTTTCCTCTTTTAAAGTCAGTGCTAGTTTGCAAGAGCACGAGCATAATCACAATGAGGCTGCACAGGTGGACTGGTGGGGAAATCAGTTCTCGTGTCCAGGATTTAATGTCTCCAACAACCTCAGAGTCTCATTAAGCCACTTGTTAGCAACTGCTAAGTCACGTAAAATCTGGGGGGGGGGCACAAGACACGCAAGTAAATGAGACCTAAATGCATAGATGTTTGATGAGCCGGAGACATGAATTTGTTGTTGCAGTTCTGCCTTCCTTTGAACAAGGTCTTACTTTGAATATTTTGCTCTCAAATGTTTTATATTCTCTGGTGAGCACTGCAGTTTATGAATGTGATCTGACTTGTGATCTGAAAAAACATTTTAAAAAGAATTCTTCATTGCGGCATCTGGCAACCAGCAGGACAAATTAGACGATCTGGAGAGATGCACTCATGATCTGCACGACTACGATGTGACGTCATCACAATTTAGCCATCACAATGTGACATATGGGTCATCCTGACATCCTAGAGTACAAGGACTTAAATTCGAAGCTGTCTCTGGGACACTGTTCCTTTGTATATTTGCACTGTCTCAGAAAAATCAATGTGGCCCATTTTATCTCTGTTTTCTTCTTTTAGTCAAAGAATTATTCAGCCACTGATCCAAAGTCTCCGTGCTCCTGTGTGAGAGCTGACAACAGGCAGTGACAGGAAAAATCAGACTGTGAAGGGAAAATATTGCTTCACACGTTGCTCCACACATCCTCCTCCACATGTTACTATCTGAAATCCAGACGCAGTGGGGGATGATATCATAATCAGAACAGGGTGACCAGTTAAAATGAACTCTTGAGAAACGCATGTTGCTCCAAAGAAAATGGACTGAAATGTTTTTGGTTTTTTTTCTTCAGGGGATGTTGTGCAACATGTGTAGGGATCCAGTATTTGTATTTCACTTTGTATGTTCGTATTCATTCACTGAGAAGCAAACACCTACAGGAGCTTCACATTTAAACAAAACATGCTTCCAGGCTACAAATGATTCATATTTCTCTAAACCTTGTAAACAACCTGCAGGACTGACCCACTCTCATCTCTTCGGCAGTGCTCATCTTCCCGGCTGATTATTTCTTCTTCAGTGCGAGTAACTGAGCATTCGGCTTACAGCTGAACATGGAGAGAACTGACAGAGATGAATCTAAAGGTCAAATGAACATATACAAACACGGAGTGAAACACATCTCTGGAAATATGCGCTTGTATAACAGCACTGTTCGCCGTCATGGGCTAGAAAAAGTCATTTACACCTCGCAGCGAGATTTCCCACAAATGCAGATGCAACCATTGGCACTCTGAGTACGGTTTGGATCAGCCATATGTTTGTGTGGATGCTGCATATCATTAAAACTGCTCTTCACTTTTGACCTTCAGATTTCAGCCAAAGCACTGGTGAATAAGAGCTTTATCAAAATGTAATTGCTCTTTGACTAGAAACAGCAAAAAAAAAAAGATAAACATGTAGTTTTCTTTTTCAAAATCTAGTTCTACTTAATTATTTTATTTTGATCACAATCCCAACAAATAAAAGAAACGTGGAACATACGGAGGCAGTAAGTGGAGTGACCATTGATTCTGCATGACGCGTTCATGGGATAATCTGGTTTCCGCTTTGGCTGGTGCGCAGATGGCCCTGGGAGGGGAAAATAAATGGGGACAGGCAGGCTATAGGGCTGGGGCGGATATTCACCCCTAGATAAGCCCTACTGTACCATGCGCCATGTCAACCAGCCGGTCTGTGCATCCCAATCTAGATACTCTCTGCTGACATCAGTGGCCATGGCAGAGAGAGAGAGAGAGAGAGGGACAGGGAGAGAGAAAGGCAGGATATCAACCAAGACTGTGTTTGCGTCTGTGGCTGGATATTTGCATGCACCGTCTGCAGCGGGTTGCAAAGATATGCAGATATTCTAGATTGAGTGCGAGCAGGAGGATAGTGATTGGTCCAAACTATACAGCTGCGAAGTAACAAGCCGTGGCTTCTACCTTCCTCATCCATTATTGCCGTCATTAAGTGGCAGGCAGGCACCAGGGACGTTGAGTGTGTTGCAGATTCAACAGGAGCTCCTGCAGCCTGAGCCCATGCTGAGTGTTGAATGTTTGCCATGATTGCTTTTACATTCCCGTGTTCTGAAGCAGTTTGTTGAACTACGTTTGGCCCCCTGCCTGCATGCACTGTTTCAGATTAGATGTAATTAACGTCTCTTGCCCTCACGTGCCTCACGTTTGGCAGGGAATCTGTGCAACTGGGGGAGTGGACCACGAGCATTCATAAAAGCACAGATACATACTCTCACTGCGCTTTGCCTTAAACCGCATAGAAAAAGACATAATGAGAAGTCTAAAAGAGAGAGCCACTGAAACAGAGGGAGAGAAATAGACAGAGAGAGACAGACAGACACAGAGAGGAAGGGAGGATTAACTTCTCATCCAGTCTTTGCTGTTGCATAGATTGTAAGTAGCTTATTGCACAAAGCACCCTGCATGTAACCGGTGCGTTTGCATGATTTGTTTTGGGAGTTTTTTTGTGTGTTGGTCATCACTGACCTCATGCAGGCAACTAAGAGCTTTGGGCCTAAAATAGTCAGAGTGGAGAATCTGGCTTCCTCTGCACTTCTAAGAATGCATCCAAAGCTATAAAAGGGCAACAGGTTTACCTCTATATGAACGTTACTCTTTACTCCTTGATTTGAAATGGGTGCAGTCTCGTCTAAGTTTTGCTTTCATTGACATTATTAACCATACAGACACACAGCTGTAGCAACAAATCTCTAGGCTATGCACAAAAAACCAGTATGAGGCTGTATATGAAATACATGGTTTTAAACTTAAACTGGAGGTGGAACTGTGAGAGGGAAGATTGCACGTGAGGGTACGTCAATCTGGAACAAAGTCCCAAAAAAACAACTGTTTTTAAAAAAAAATGAGGCTTAAAACATTTCTGTTTGCCTCAGCTCTCCATTAAATTAAATTTGAGACTATTCATTCATATCAAGCACAGCACTGCATCTCTATTGTAAATCCTATTGTCCAGTTTAATTTATTTTATTCAAATGTAGCTTATTTCTATCTTCTATTTTATTTCACTCGTTTTGAATCCATTACCTCGTTTCTTTCTTATCTTGTCCCTCCAACATTTCCTTTTTATGTCTTATATAAAGGATTTTGAATTACCATGTTGTTGAAGGTTGCTATACAAATAAACTGTAATTTCCTATACCCAGAGGTCGGTTCCAATAAGACGAGCCTGAATATGTGGCCCTAAGTCAAAGGTGGGTGTACAGGTGGATTTATATTTAAATAGCTCCTAACTGAAGGCTTTTTAATTTATGAACACTAAATCCTTCACTCCAGCTACAGAGAGCAGACCAACAAACATGTGGTCTCTGAGGACAGCTGATTGGCTGGGTGGATAAGAGAGGGGGGTTAAAAGGCAAAAATCAAATAAGTTAAAGAGAAAGATGCAGCTGAAACAAACAACGAAATGGACCCAGAGTGTGCGAGATACATTGCTATTGTCATTTTATATTTTTCATGCTGTCAAAAATGTCTGTTCCCCCTGCTGTACACAGTAATATGGCACTTTCCCATGTGACCATGTGGAGATAAGTGATGACAAACATTCATATTCAGTTCTCTCTGTAGCTACAACAGCTCATTCTGATGCAGTCTCCATGTTCTCAGCAGAACGTTCAAATGGCTTCAACGCCGCTCAAATTTTATGTTTCCAGGTTTCTCATATGGTACATTTTCAAAGTAATATCAATATCACCGGCGTAGACCACAGTGTCCCACCAGCATAGAAACTCACTGCATATGTGCAGAGGTGGAGGAGAGTGACTGCAGCGACAATGATGCTCCCCCAGTGAATGCACATACCTCCTCCTCACAGTTCAGTTCGGTTTAGTTTAATTTGGTTCCTTTCAGCATAGACAATACCTATAATTTTTTGTGTTTAATGTTCCTCCTGATAATTCTTCACTGAAACCTGACAATATCTCAGGTGCATCCCTGCACTGAACATCAACACCCACCCAAATTATTATGCAACTCTTTTATCAAGTTTGGCATTTGGCACAAAGGGCACATAATTGTTTTTGTGTGTGTTCATGTGTGAGTGTGTATGTTGCTGTGTTGCTCTTACCTGGATACGACAAGGGGCAAAATTAACATTTTCAACATCCTCATTAGCAGCTCTCCGGGAAACTGGAAGTACTTCACCTCCTGCAAGTGGGAAGAGAAAAAAACCTTGTTTATAACTCAAAATTAAACAGTACAAGCTAATTACATTATTGCGAGTATTTCGCTAACTATTCCTGTTTGTGTTAGTGACATGTGTAGTGTAAAAGCACTGCACCAGATATCAGTTCCAACCAATCACAATCACAAACTGCAAATCTTGCCCACATACGACGATTCTTTTCTAAGCCAGACCTTGAGAAGTCTGTCTGCTTTTGTGAAGACAGACAGTGAAGCTCGTAACACTGAATCAAAAGATTTGTCAGGAAAAGAAGACAAAGAACATATTGAGAAATGGCTTTCAATTGACTTTTAGATTATCTTCTTCTTATATAAAGCACAAGCCTTGCTACATGAAAAAAAAGCTTGGGCCTGATGAAAATCTATGAGACACAGAGACCTCTTGGGTCATCTGGCAGTGGCTCCCTGCTGTGAGCTTTAATGTTGCTATGTAGCTTTGATAGAGGAATTGAGAAAAGGTAATTCAAACAAAACAAAACCAGACTAAGAGTCTAGCTATAGCCATGCTAGCAATTCTATGAGGCTGTACTTATGGCACAGCGGGGCTTTGAGCTAAATCCTAACATCAGCATGCTATTATTTTAGTGTGTTAGCATGCTAACATGTGCTAACATGTCCATTATGGAAAGCTAACCGATAATTGTTGAAATATTTCAGTCTGGACCAAAGTGGTGGCCTGACCAGTCCAACATACTGGGAATGCTGTCCTTACTGACATATTGCTAATATGGCTAAAAAAGATGGGGCCAGCAACGTGGCATCAAAATGAAGGTTTAAGGCAACTGAAACTGATTCGCTTAAGAGACTTCTTCAGCTTTAAGTTCTCTGTTAGTTTCGTCACGTGTGTTGCCTTTATTATTCACCTGTGTTCGATCATGTGCGCCATGCTGCATTTTGCTGTTGCCTTTCCTTATTATATGTCCAGCACATGAGTAATAAACAGTAGTGGCCAATACAAAATATCTGATGTAGCCAATCACTGACAGAAACAAAGTAATTGACCATGATTGAGGCCATTTAACTTATTTAATTACCTTATTTGACTGTGGCTAAAAATAGAAATTGAAATCTAGAATATAAATCTGCATAATAAAGCCTTGTTCGTTGTATTGTATTGTATTCACTGTATGAAGTCATGAGGTCACAGAGGCTGCTATGTGGCGTTTCACTATGTGACCGTTGATTTGATTACACAATTACAGGAAAACAGGTTCCTACAATTCTCTGTCACACAGTATCAACCTACTACTGAAAACTACTGAAAACTGTAAATCTTTGTTTGTATATTGCCAAGCAACAATAAGAAAAGCATATTTCATTTCAAGACTCTGCAAGTGGATTTTTGATATTAATCTAAACCATTCACATTTTGTGGGTTATGAATAGAGAAACAATTGGAATGGCAGCTGAAAAGAGCACTCCACTGATTCAGCATTGTACACCTCCAGTATAATATTGTGAGGCTCGTGATGAACAGTAAAAAGGTATCAGATTTGATGCAACAGAACCACAGATTGCCTTTTTTATTCAACGCATTCTTTCTTGCTTTTCTAAACCCAGCGACTACATCACACACAATGCAACATGAAAGCTGACGGATTTAGGTGTGGTAATTTCGTAGCTTCAAGCAGAGATGAAGAGCAGGCTACAGAGGTCTGGTAAGCTTGCATCTTTCAAACTATACACCCCCAGATTTTCTTTTCATGTCCGTACTTGTAGTCTTAAGCTCCAAAAGACACTGATTTAAGTGATATCACAATATATCAGACTGTTGCTCTGTCTGGAGGCACAGAAAGCTTTATACAGCTTATTTAGAATTCCCTGAACAACAGGAAATATTTGAACCCCCAAGAGAATAAGTTTAATATCTCAGGGTCTTGTTCACAGGTGATGTAAGATGGAGTGTATGATTACTCTATAAGAGATGGGCTGATGTGTCTGCTCTGCCCTCTACTCTGAATGTAGCAGTCAATTTACATTCCAGCCCTCACCTATGGTCATACTCCTGGGATAAAAAAGAAAAAAGAAGGCAATTAGCCCTTTTCCACTGCAGCTCAGCTCAACTCTCTCTCAACATCGTTTTTTGGTTTTCCATTGGGCAAAAGTTGAGGCGAGTACCTGGTACTTATTTTGGTATCACATCTGGCGACTTGAAAACACTAGAGACTCACTATGCTTCATCATCAATGTGAAAGACGGGATGTTCTGATTTTTAAACGGCCAAGTGACTGCACACCATGTTACATTTCTGTTAGTTATGGTACTATACTTTTAGTATGGCAACAACTACAACTCATACTCCTCTGCATTTAAAGAAATCAACCAAGGAGGTTTGGATGTGGACCTAACTTGGCTAGGTTTAGGAAAAGATAGGTACTTCCTTAAAGATAGAGGACCTTTGTTGTCATGGTTACAATAACAAACACATGGTGAAGGTTGTCACTTCCTCCTTTGCTGCAGTCATAATTAATGTGACTGGAGCTGGAGATTGCCTAACAAAATGCAATTGTGGGTCATTATAAGTTACTGGCACTGATGATTTTTTTTTACAGTAGGACAGTCTCCCTGACTCGTTCCTCTCAGCCATAATGAGAGTTTTAGCATCTTTTAGCTCATTGTTTTCGTTTTCTGGTGAATATTAAATTTGTCAAGTGTTCAGAAAACATGATAAATGGATGCTAATGTTGCTCCGTCTCTGCTGAATATGAAAATAGGCAACAGTTGTTGAAGGAGCTATTTGTTTGTTTTGCTATTGCTACATGACCAGCGTTAGCATCAAAGGCTTTACCTACCAGTCTTGACAAGAGCTTCAGCTATTATTGCATTTAGCAGACAAGAGATAATAACACGCCCTCTGAGAAGCGCTACCTCTTCAGGGCAGACTAGACGATACAGTGACTCCGTATCAGAAAGTGATGAGATGGTCCAGAGCTAGCTGGTTAGCATGCTAACTTAAATTGAAGAAAAGAAGCTATAGAAATAGAGGCCAAACAAGAGTTAACACTGACATTGCTTCCCACCACTAGAGACAGCTCTTGGTAAGTAAATTCATTTAGTTGAAAAAGTTTGATGACAAACTCACAACGTTTCTTCTAGACTTATAAGTAAACAGCTGTTAATGCTGATATAGCAATAACAAATCCCACAAATAGCTCCTTTTGCACATTCACAAAAACAACCTTAAAAGCTGATAACACTGTATGTCTATACAAACTCAATTAATGAAGGTTTGTAAATCTAATAACAAGATTTTGGCTAAATTGAATGAAATAGGAAGCAAAAGTACGAAATGCAGTAAGAATCTGAAGTTAAACAGTGACTGCAAAGTGAATGAGTGGGTGCACAGTCCCCTGTTAGTCACAAGCAATTTAAAACGCTAAACTAAATAAAACACGCTATTATATTATGATAATAGTAAGCCATAAGCGGAAAGAGCCAGTGGAAAAACAAAACAAAGTAAAGAGTTGGACATGAAAAAAAAAATCAAATTTAAGTACAGCACATCTGTGCAGTGCAGATGTTGGAGCAATAAAAGCTCTTTTGCTTCTGTTTTTGAGTGAGGGCACTTTTAGGTTAAATGGCTAAGTGTGTGTGTGCATGTTGGGTGGGGGGGGGGCTCTGGGTACTTTAGTATGTTGTGTGTTGTATTTAATTTTGTGAACATAGCATTCAGAGTGTGTGTGTGCATGTATGTTTGTGTGTTTGTATTGTCTATGTGCATGAAGGATAAACACATCTGTCCCTCACATCTGCTAACAGTGGTAGACATTTGGTACACATGCACGCACGCACACATGCACGCACGCACTAGGCCCACATGCTGGTATATGTACACTGCATACCATTTTATGTACAAATGTCCATGTGAAAGCAGCAAGAGACATTTGAGACACTGATGATGTTATAACTAACAAATTCTGAGATGATTTTATGAGCTGCCTTTTCCCCCTGAGGAAAAGCGCCCGTCTGGACGGTGACTGGAAAATAACCTTTGGTCTGGTAGCGCAGCAGAGACACTGGCCACCACACTTATCTGACACTACTCAATGCAATGTGTTGTAATTTACTTTTAGACATTTCTTTCTGTTTGCCATTGCTTTTCATGAGAATATCATTTAAAAACCATTGATTTTACTTTAAATTTTGTTCTTCTTATGCTTTTTAATTTTCTTAACTTCATTTCATTTAGTCTGCCGTTTCACTCATAACACATTTATTCTGGGACTTTTAATTATTTGTCCATGAAATGTGTTGCCTTGAAAGTTTTGAAATAATTGACATACATCATCATTTCTTCTAGTAAAAGGATGAAGGATGAAAATATATATTTTTTGATGGGCCTGAGCTGAAAGCCAGAAGTTGCAAATATACTTATGTTGCAGTGTGTATCCCGCTCAGTTGTGTTGATCACAAACTAAAAATCATACGGTGCAATCAGTCTCTGTCTATAAAAGTAAAAAAATAAATATCTAGACCCTCAACCATTGCACTTCTTGATCATTTGTTCATGTAAGGAACAGCGAGGTCCTCAAGACCAACACATTTCCTGAATGCCACGTATAAATGTAAGCATGCACAACATAACACACACACACACACCTGCACTCTAAATTCTTGTTTTCACCTTGTAATCATGAATGCAGTGGGAGCTTAACTGTCCTCACCTTTGCCTTCACCTTCACCCTGCCAGCTGCCACACAGTCACAGTCAAATCCACCACCATGCTCCTCGCTACACCAAATGCTTTTTCCATTGTGACACAAACAACAGAGCGCTTCCGCATACAACTGTATTATTCTGCTCTTTTCGAGGGATTGAAATCCTCTCCATGTATGACCTATGATTTAAAAAAAAAAAAAAAAACTATTTCAGAAGCCGCTCAGTGTTGTATTGATTCCTTTAAGGAGTGGCACTCCTTAGGCAGCTTATACACTTCTGTTTCTCCTGCTGAGGAGGTAAAAACCATCCTGGCAGGCTCAGCGTGGGCAGATCGTCTAGCCTGTTGACCACAGGCCCAGATTCGTGTTTGTGAGAGGGACACAGAAATGAGCTTTGTTTCCCCTTTAAAAACCACACTCCCTAATCTGTGTTATCACAATACTTTTCATTGTTTTCAACCCGCAGTCACTGGCAGAGACAAAGGAACTAGAGCTAGCAACTGCTGGTTATTTAGCTCTGTCAATATACTTACATATACAGTAAACATAGGCTTTGTTAATGTAAAGTCTGATGTCTGAAGCACCATAAAATCAAGTCAGATCATACTCTTGATCTGAAGGCTCTTTCCTGACCCTGGAAAATTTAGTATGATTAAATTCTTAACTCAAGGTCCACTTACTAAAGTTCTCCAGCTTTCAGCTGTCAGTGAGGGACCTGTTGTGTTGTCAGAGTCCTGGCTCTGTGGAGGGTAATGTCAGACCAGTCAGTCCAGCACCGCTTTGGCTCAGACAGAAGATGATCTCATATCATTAGAGTCTAATCAGGTCAAAATTACAAAATAACAATTTGTCCAATACTTTATAACTTAATTTGTGTTTCACGAATGACTAAGTAGCCCGTTAGCATATCGCTCATATGCTTAACTAGCAAGTGAACACTGTAAACACTCTGCTAAACATCAGCATGTCAGAATTGTTATTGAGTATGTTAGCATGCTGATGTTACCATTTAGCTCCTTGCTAGCAGGACTTGTGACTTGTTGTGTATTTTCATTGAGGTAAGAAGAAAATATCTCCATGGATGAGACTTTGGGGCCGCGGGTTTCAGGATCATTTCCTTTGTTTACATCAAATCCCCTGATCTCATTGACAAAATGAGGCGGTTTGAGGCCAGACACAGAAGCTGCGAGAGCGTCTCATGTGTGTCTCCTTTCTTATAAAGGCCGTGAGCAAGCTCCCTCACGCCAATTCCATTAAATGAACAGATATCAAATTTCAAAAAGCAAACACACATTTGCTAGCGGTGACGTGTTCATGATGTACTTCGTTCTCATTTTTGTATTCTGCTGCCGGTGTGTGAATGTCCCGAACGGTGGCAGGACACGCAAATATGAACTAACATGAGTCATTTTGCCTGTTCATTGTGATGAATTCAGCTCACTAGCTCCCAGTGAATATAGGGAATACACATGCATTTACAAGCACGTATTTCCACTGGAACATGCATCTACACAAATCACCTGCAGTATCTTAACCGGACCATGTGGAAGGATGAAGTGATTTAGCCTTTTTTTTTTTTTTCATCACCAAGCTGACACTGTGCTGCGCGACTAGGATTCTCCACTTACATTATCACGAGTTTGCTCACATGCTCACAGACCTCTTTCAGGAGATGTGTGCTCCATATAAAACAGACGGCTGCTACTGTTATCTTACGCAACACGTGGATCAAAACTAAATCACCAGGAAGCCACACACCTGACATTCCCCCCTGTCTCTTCCTGGAAATTCTTTTGACACCGTGTTCATGCTCAAACATTATTATATTGTCACACATCTTGCATCATACATGTAAAAACACACATAGACCCCCCCCATCATCCACATTTTAATCCATTACATTTTTCTGTTCTGTTTCAGCCAACCTTATTACAAAAGCTTTTCAGCCTTGACGTATGCTCTCTCTGCAATTCCAGCTCATAATTACTGGAACAATCGATAGAACAATCTTTTTTTTCCACTACTCTGACAGTAATTTAAGCTATTACCAAAGCAAAATGGTTAGAGGAATAATCATGCAGTTGCCTTAGCAGCCTCTTAGCATTTTACTGATTTTCAAACTATGTTTTTAATTCCACTTCCCATTCAGTCTTGTGTGAATTATATAAGTGATGTCTCGGTGAGTGATTGACAACTAATCTCCTCGCTGGCAATCCCTTTCCATGGATACACCGAGTCTAGCTCAGAGGCTGTATAGGCAATGAGTGACTGATGAGACCCTGTTTCACATTTAAAAAAAAAAAAAAAAGTCCTTCCCTGGGGAAGTCTTTTGCCATTACTATGTGCATGTTGTAGCAGACAAACTGGCATTTGGATGAGTTTGAACTTGCTATCGTCTTTGTTTTTCTTATTCTCTCGTCATAAACCGGCGACCCTTCAGGCCTCTTAACGCTGTTTCTTTGACAGCCTTTTCTGACCTGACTGTGAGCGGTGTGAAGAACCTGTAGCGTCAGTCACTTAGGTGAAACTGAACCGTGCGGCCCTTTCCTTATTCCTTATTCCCAATCCGTCAGAAGCACAATCCACTGTTCATTACATCGCCCCCTCGTTCACTTTAATGGTCCTACTTGATTGATACTGATTGTGGTGATGAAAACTATATTTTGGTAGACGGTGGTAGTTAAGTGAAAATATCTTATTTAAAGTGAACGTGTGTGTGGGCCACTGTGTGTACTGTGTGCTCATCCCATTGTGGGGACTTCTCTGCCATCTGGTGACAAAAATCAGGTCCGGTTAATGATTCATTCGGAGGGTTAAGATTTGGCTTTAAGGTTAAATAAGAATCATGACCAAGTTAAGGTCAGTGTAAAGGCTGGCCATGTTACCTGTTAAAGCCAAGCCTCCGGGGACTGAATGTGAGTCGATACCATGTCCTCACAGAGACGGCAGTCCATGTGTGTGTGTGTGTGATAATGTCAGCGTGAAGCGCACGGAGTGGTGGTAAAGAGGGAACAAGGAACTGAATAATCACTTGTATTGGGAGATGTGGTGTTTGAATCCATCTTGACATTTAAGAGGGATACTTGAGGGGGGTGAGATAAGTCGGGCAGGGCGGATGGGCTGGTGGGAGAGTGTGCGTGTGGGGAGGGGTGGTGGGGTGTGTGTGTGTGTGTGTGGGGGGGGGCATTTTAACCAACTGACCTGCTCGGAGAGCTGCTTGCCTCTGAGAAAGAAGCCCAGCAGGCAGCCAATGACCACGGCCAGCACAGACAGGATGAGCAGTCCGTTCTGCTTGCAGACATTCTTCACCCGCCCCCATACTTCATCCAGAGCCACCGCCATCCTCCTCCACTACCTCCTCCTCCTCCTCCTGCTTGTCCTGGTCCTGACTGCAACTTTGCAACCCCCCCTCTCAGAGAAAAGCTCCCCTTCTACCACCTATTCAGCCATAAAGAAGCAGCACAGAGCCAACAGCTGCCGCCACCGCCGCCGCCGCCGCCGCAGCCGCACTGGAAGAGATAGCAGACTGTGGACGCAGCAGGTGAAGCAGGATAGATGGATGCAGACTGATGCAGGAGAAGGTGGGATTGTGAGAGAAGAAACAGCCCAGAAAGAAAAAGATTAAAGAAAGGAGGAACAAAAAAAAAAAAAAAAAGTTGGGATTTAGTTAACGGAGGGGGGTGAAAAGTAAAATTAAAGAGGTAGTCGTCCAAAAATAAAGCACTTCAGGAGTTTCTGTTTTCCTCCTCTGACCTGCTTCCTTGGTTATTCCACGAGACTGTGAGCATCACACCGACACACTCTCTATCTCTGTCCCTCTGTCAGTCACCTCCCTCCCTGTCTCTCTGCCCCCCACCCCTCCCTCCCTACATCCCTCCCTCCCCCAATACGTTCCCCCCAGTGGCCAGCAGGGGGCTCTGCGACAGCTGGCAGTATTGTCATCAGGGTTAATACTAAGATCCTATTAGGCTGTGCTGCACGACTCACATCTAAGGCTGGATTAGAGAGCTCTCTGAACAATTGGACAGTGGATTGTTCCAGACCAACAAAAAGAGAAAAAAAAAAAAAAAAATTACACAAGTGACATGAGGTAAATAACGGCACAAAACAAACGGGGCCTCACAGTCCTGGTGAGTTGTTACGCTTCACAGAGGTTCAGTAAACATGACTGAACATGATGATGAGAGACACAACTGAAGGTAGTAATTACAGATGTGGTCACAGGCAAGGGACATGATGCGTGTTAAAAATGAAACAGAACATATAATTTGTTAGCGGGCCACGGGGGCCTAACCGCCGCAGACACGGGTTCGAGTCCGACCCGCGGCCCTTTGCTGCATTTCCCCCCCCCCCCCCCTCTCTCTCTCCGAGTTTCCTGTCTGTCTCTCACTGCGCTGTCCGAATCCTTATGATATGTAGGACGGACGGAGATGTGTGTTTATGGTAATAATGTTGAAAATAAAGTCCCGTATGTAATTAACTTTGGAGTTCACTTATTGTAGTAGAGGCTGACCGCACACCTCCAGTGCCTGAACCAAGGTAACATGTCCTGGACTAGTCCACCGAACACACAGTGACGAAATTCATATCAACCTACTCATCCAACTCTCAGCAAGACAGGAAACAAGGTGACACCCAAAGAAATTGAAGTAACAGAGTTACTGGAATGAGCGACATTTATAATTACTACATTTCAAATTGTCGTCCCTTAGACTAGAGCCATTGACATATTACGGTAAGTTGTTCACACGACACATTACAATCAATCACAATACTGCTCATCCATGACGCCAAGTTGGATCTGCCCACACATGGCATATACGGTAGACGCTCATGTGTAGCGTATGAACTGACAGTAAACATATCAAATGTGCAGTATGGAGGAAAATTTTACTCCTAAAGTGTACATATATTGCACTGTACGTTCAGAGCTATAATGCTAACTGCTAACTAACCAGCTAACTCCAATCACCAGCATCACCTCTCGCTCTCTCTCTCGCCCGCTAATCACACAACTTACGTACTGAACTTTTCCTGGAAGAAGCTACGATACTCGTCTAACAATATTCTGTCTCAGACTTCTCAAGCTTTCGTCATCTTGCACAGTGATGACGAATCAGTGTAATTTGCTCGTTTACTTGCCACTGCTGCCTCTTGAAGCTTAACAAGCTCCACACACGTCTGCGCATGCGCACAATGCTGCAATATAATAAGCTGAATCAACAACTCAAAAGAGATCCTTTTGTAATTTAGCTTTCATACATTTTATACTGTAGAAAGTGAAAATAGAGGATATAATGGAGTAAATGCAAAGGAAAGGAGATGCAGAGGAAATTTTTTTTTACTGGCTTCATTACAGTCGCTGGCTGAAAGATGTGCTGTGATTCCAGTTCGCATGCCAGGTGCTGTAACGTTACAAGTTCTTCTTCTTCTGATGTTTTTGGGCGGTTGGCAAACAGCTTTTTGGTGCATTATCACACTGCAGAAAGGGGCCTTGCAAACCCCTAAGCTGTTGCACATGTAAAGAAGTGTTAGTAGTGCTGTACACAGAAATGTGAGTGACACCAAGGGACGAGTGGCCGATGAACTGGGAACGACTTGTGAAGAAAATGCTTCTTGCTCCGTTTCACAGACACTCACAGAAACTAATCATTATCTAATGACTCAGTAATATCTCCCAGCTTGTTCTCTAGTTGCTTGTCATTATCTAGTATAGTCCTTGATTCATGTTATTCAGGAGCTATTCTTTTGAACAAATCAGAATCAAATGTGTACAAAGACAAACAAATTAAGCTTTAAGAACATAGAGAGGTGTGAAGAGATCTGATACGGTTAACTGACTGATATTTATTTTACACATGAATGAATAAGTAGGCCTAATTAAATAATGCAGTGATATCTGAAAATCGCACACAGAGATGTTTGTACAGTATAAGGAAGCACTTAGGAGTTCATTTAAAATGACAACATCCACTTAACAAGTCCCTGAGATTTCACGCAGTAACAAAAGGAGCACGCTGCAGTTATTTGGGAAACATCATTCAGAGCATGTCCTGCAGTTAGATTATTGACAGATCAGATAGATTCCAGGCGCCACCCCCACCAGATCTCCCTTAATTAGCTTCATTCCTCAAACACGCACTTGCTGTGAACCCTTTGGTCTCCCTGCCATATCCAGGAAAATCATCTCCCGCCCTGAGATTCATCTGTACACTCCCTATAAAATTTGAAATGATATTTTTGATGTTCTGTGAAGACTCTTACCCTCTAGAAGTAGAGAGATAAACAGGCTGCGTTCGGAGTGAATACAAATGGATTTTTTACCTGAGAAGCGCAGTGAGATTGAATCTGATGAGGGCTATTATAAAAATGAAAGTGTCACTGCTATATGCCGCAGCCTGTCACTGCTGGAGAGCCGGTCAGTGTCAGCTGGATTTAATGAATCTACAAATCACTGGAAAGGAAAATAAATAATTTTCTTTCTGTCTTGGTGGAATGGTTTGGCTTTTCCTAACCCTCTTGTTTTGTATTTTTTCCTCAATCATTCTTCTTTATCGCCTGATTTTAATACTAAAGCCCGTTTCTGCACAAGGCAAAAAAGTGAAATGATTGTCCTTTAACAAGCTGCATGCATTGTACTAGCGCAGTCCAATTATGAAGCCTGCCACAAGAAACACGCTGGGTTTTAGCTGACCCTTTTACCCTTTCATTGCCTTCAAGATTAGAATAATGACTCACAATTAAGTTAATGCCAGCTCACATAATGAGTGCGTGTATTCTCATCTACTGTATAAACACATTTCCAGCTGTTAAAGGTGATAACTTGTGAGAAATAGTGTCCCCTTTCTGCAAGAGAGACATATGTCTTGTGTCTCACTGTATTTCTTAGCAAATGTTTGGCAAACGTAACGTTCAGCTAATTTCTCAGGTACCAAGTTTCACAGAGTAAAACTTCCCCAAATCAAAGAGCAGGGCAGAGAAGCTACAGACATCTACACCCTATAGCATTAGGGACCAGCTAGCTCACAGTGGATGTGCTAGTCTTAGTCCATTCCTTACACTTGCTCTTATATTTTTGATTTCAGAAAAGGCTAGAAAAAGACATCACCCTCCGAAATCTTTACCCACCATGTATCGATCTTACTACAACTCTTTGAAGTTGTGGCTGCAGAGGAGTTTAAACGCTCAGTTGATCTAGAAATACATAGTGTGCTCTTCATCTTTCAGACTGTCAGAACGCAGGGAGTCGTATAAAAACCTGCAAAGATCGTTACGACTCAAACGCAACTAAAAGCAGTTTAATTTAAAAAAAAAAAAAAAAAAAAAAAAGAAATTGAAGAAGCTTAATCATTTCTCCATTGTTCCCTGAGCTTTTTCTGAGAACATCATGAGCAACATAAGAACTAGCGGTCAGCTGGGATGAAATTTGCAGGGGATGACTAAACCAGTGTTGTGATGTAATGATTGATAAAGAAGTTTTAGAAATGCTATTTTCATGTCCAGTGATAGGGGTTTATTTCTTCCTGCTGGAGAGGAATATTAAAGTATTAAAAATGCACTGGTTCCAATTTGAAATGAGACACTGCCCTCTCTCCTCGTTCTGTGACTCATTGTACAAATTAAAGGCTGAAGATGAATGATGAAGATGAAGTTGAAGTTCTTGCAACAAAACATCAGATATGACAAAGGCACTCTATATTTGTCTGTAGCTGCTTAATGCTCAACATTGATAATGTTACATGACATTGATAAACTGCCCACGGAGCAAAAGCCTGCAGCATGGCTAATGTCTTATTGAAAGCCTTGAAAGCTCACTTGATATGTACAGAATGTTATGTGCAAAACATGTCCTGGAATAGCTTCCTAGATGTGTCTCCGAAACACTAGGAACATAATGTACAGGACGTTCTGCAAACACATACGAATATATTGCATAATACTGGCTCCATATAAACAGGAATAATATAGATGTAATGGCTACAGGTGGTTAAATAATAAATACAGGTTCTTTTGGGTTGTAATAGAAACATCGACAGCACTTAACAATTTAGCCAAATTTGAATACACTGAGTCATCAAAAACAATTTCAATGAAGGCTAAAGTTTTTATCAACTGATTTTACTTTAAAGTAAAGGAGGTGCTATATTTATGTACCAGACTGAAGTCACAGTGAGGTGGTCAGGGTGGAAGCTGGCCGGTGCTGAAAGGTAACCATGAAATGTTTAATAATCCTGTATTTGCTATGAGCAGATATTGAAAAGCAGGATTAGATCATTTAGAGAAAAACATCCAGTAACATCATTTGGCCACTTGCCAGATATGTTAATTAACACTATTTCCTC